CGAACTCCTTAAATAGGTAATATAGAAAAGTTACATGTGTAGCCAGTTGTACACTTGTCTAATAGTTCATTATAGATCCATTTATATAAAACATGTACTCGCTATAAGTATTAATAAAAAGCTCAGACCAAAGAGGTCACCTTAATACCGAAAAAAAAAAAAATAAAGATTAATTGCTAAATTTAGTATATATAATTCTTAGTATGTTATTTTTATGTAAAGAAGTGAATTCGCTTTATTATGCTACCAGTTTATGCAATATATATTTTTAAATTTCAGTATATTTACATAGTAGGTACTTTTAATTTTTAATAATTTCTACTTGTCTATTTGCTCCAACCTCTTTTTTGGCTACTACATGTTCTGGTTTGACTATTTTCTAATTTATCTTTATGAAATGCAAAGTTATAACCAGGTTGACTACACAAGCAACATTTATAGAATCTGTAAATTGAGCCTTTATTTATTTTTGCTGTTTTTGCTCTTGCTTAAAGCTACTTTGGCATCTTTGCTTTGAGGTCTTCCTTTATCAACAATATAAGAAAGATTTTTAATATTAGCAAGATCCAAGATAACAGATTCAACTGTATTATTATCAGATTCTTCTATTTCATCCATTCCAGATAAACTTGACTCATCAAAATCATTAGCTGAGGTTTCTATTGTTTGGTTTACAGCATTACTTTGTGCTTAATTTTTCTTCTCATTGATATATTTTTTCAAAATTGAAACTATTTCATTATCATTATTCTTTATAGCAAGCAACATTGCTTCATATGCAAGTTCTCAGATTTGTCTATATTGTTACTTTTTATGAATAGTATTCTTCATGACAAAAACAATAGTTGGCATAGTAGCTAGCTTGCATATAAGTAAAATTGTTATACTATTTTGATCTGATTTAAGCATATCTTCTTTATAACTAAATACAATATTCTCTTCTAATGCTATACAATCTTCATATGAGTCTTTATACTACTAAGCAGTTATTATTGATAGATGGAATGCTATGATACTCGAATGCATCATAATGCAAAAGTAATGTCAGCATATAATGCTTTTAGAAATATTTATGAAACATAAACATAAAAATAAAATTGGATTAACAATCATTACAAAATGAATACAATGCCTTTTTTCACTATGCAAATTGACAATTTTCCAAATTTTTTTTAAATTTTTATTTTTAACTTTATCAATCATAGACTAAAGTGTTATTTTTTTGGCATTATACTAATCTTCTATAAATTCATTATAAGCTTGCTTAATATTTTATATTTAATTCTGTTGTTAGATAGATTACTAATATTTCTATTTTTTTTATTTTTTTTTTTACCTGTTTCTAAGTTAAGTTTTCATTTGTAGAATCGATTTTACTTGTACAAAGAAAAAGGCATTGCCTTATTTCTATTTTAATTTCATTATTTATTGCTTCAGTCAGATATTTATCTAGCACTTTATTAATTGTAGTGAAAAGGTCTTGATTAGCTATAGGTACTGTTAATATAGTAGTTGATAATTTGTACTCATAGAAATGTTTCTATTAATCTTTATCTTTCAATCCTTAGTCTAGATGATTTGCAAGTTCACACAAAATATTACATGATTCTAACCCTTTTTTAATTATCCAGTTATATGCCTCTACATATGCAATACTCTCAATTTTAGCTATAAATGTTTTATGCAAGTATGCATGTACCTAAGATTTTCAACTTTGATTAAGAGCTCTAAGTAGATAGTCTTTTGCCATTGGATATTTTTTTTTGCAGATTATTTCATCTTTAATCAAAGTGTGGCACACATAAGCTATTCCAACACTAGTAAAAATTTTTTATAAACTCATTCCATTTATCTTCCAACTTGGATTTTAAATTTTTAGAAAGATTTTGGCTAATATGAAATATACAATATGGCATATATGTAGTTGGAAATATAATAAGAATTGCAGCATTCAATGCAGAATCTGCATCTGTGAATATTACAATTAGTGGTCAACCTATAGCTTTGCTAATAGACTGTAAAATCTACACATATGTGTCTAAAGTTTCATTATTAACTAATATTTGACATATCAACCTTGTCTTTTTATTATTATCTATAATGATAAAAAGGCCCAGTAGCATTTGATACTTATTTGTATATGCTGTATTGTTATTAACAACTACATTATTATACCTTAACTATAGGTTAACCTGTTCTAAAGACATTTATAAAAGCCAAACCAAATAATTTTTCTTATTAAGTTCAAATTTAACAACCTACTGTGGATTCAAGATTTTCTTTTTCATCAATACTATAAGTAAAGTTGATGCATTATTATTCCTATATACACTTTTATTAGTTTTTTTAAACTTTTGAATTGCATTATCAAGGTCAGTATCTTGAAATTTTAAATCAGAAAAGTGGGCTTTAAGAAGACTTCTTTGAACAGTAATTAAAAGATTTGCATGCTTAGTCATTATTTTTATTTTCTTTAAAGCATTCTAACTTAATGATCTAAACTTAATTCTGAATTCTTGAGTTTCTACTAAAAGCTTATAGTTATGCTTATTAATGAATATGGTAATTCCTATTCAAGATCTAGATTCACCTAAAAAAAAAATTACAATGCTATAAACATTCTAATTTTTTTGTCTTTGTATTATGCTGTGTTCCTTTTTGTATTGTAATTAGATCTTTTTTTGCTTTGTATTTTCCACCAAACTCACAAATAAAAGTTCTTTTTTGAATTTTACTAGTTTTACATCCTATATTTATTAATGCTGAATCCATTTCATGCTCCATATTCTGTAAAAAAACTTCTAACTGCTCCCAGATATCAAATTTTAGGTCTTCTGAAATGTCTTCTGATAATATAACATCTGATATACTAAGTCAATACATAGCTTAAATAACACACATCTGAGATAGTAAGATAGATACCTTTTGTAACTTCTATATTTGTGATTCTTGGCTTTTTAATTACTGTATAGTTTTCTCTATCTACTGTATTATTATTCACCTTTTCTATTTTATCATTTTGGTCTTCAGATTGAATATCATATATAGCTGTATATTGGTTTTCTTCTTTTGTTTCTTTGTATACCTCAAAAGTAACTGCATGTGATTTAATTTCAAAGATAAGAATGTTTATATATTGTTATGTCTTTAATTTCTACTTACTGTATTGTTGCATTTCAATTAGGTCTTCCAATTTGGCTTTCATTAGTTCTGTTGATGTCAATTCGATATTTATAAATAGTTTTGTTTGTTTTTGGATTTTTGTAATATTAAAAAATTGTGCAATGGACTGAAATAAAAGCAATTTGCAAAGATGGCTTATAATTATATCATAACTGTTTTTTATTGTTTGATTTGTAAGGTGCAAGATATAATAATTTTACATGCAATTTTATTTATATTTATAATTAAATGTGATATATAAATATACTGTATAGGACTTTATTTGTTTGTAACTTTATTTAATATAATTTACAAATATGACTTGACAAATATTACAGATTATAGATGCTATCTATAAGCATAACACAGGATGCGAAGTATATATTTCTCTATTAAATAAAATATAAACTAAAAAAATATAAATTAAAAAAACAAATTAAAAAATATAAAACTAATAATATTGTCACAATTCAAAATAAGATTATTAATAATTTATTAAAGATCGATTGCATAATTATATAGTAGTATATGTTAATTAATTGATATAGCATTCACTACTACTTTGCCAACAAATCCAACAAGCAACTAAAAAGAGATGTAAAACACTTTCAATGTATCCCAAACAAGCTATTAACAGTATTTTTAATTAATACAAAGTTCCTATTTACTTTTTCAACATTAAACTTCCTGACCAACTTATTACAGACTCCAAACTCATAAAACAACATATACAATATCACTTTCATGACTGGACTGCATATTGGCCAATTGATCAAGCACTGTTTAACAACTTCTGGCATACACATTATTAATCACAATCACATATCAACATCCAATAGTACAATTTTCTTAACTCTCCTATTACAGAAGATGAAGTTCTTCAAACCTTGTTACAACTTCTGAATAGAAAAGCTTGTAAACCTATA